AAACAAAAAACGTAGATTATCCGATTCGCTTCTTTCTGAGTTTGAATAAAAAAAATAATTGATAATTAATAATGGCTAACCTGTATTTTGGGGGCTCTGAAGCTTAAACAGATATAGGGGACCCTTCTCAACCAGCAACAATATATACAATGATCAACCTGCCAAAATGTAGGCTATGAATAGATTCTAGCGGGTTCAATTAGCCCATACAGCTGGGGACTCGATCGATGAAAGCCCTCAAGAAATTGTTTGAATTTGGCCAATTACAGGGCAATTTTGAGGCCATATGAAATGGGTATTAGAGCATATTTTAAGATTCTAACATTAGCTAATTGTTATAGAGTAGTTTCACAGTGAAGGCTTGTATTTCACTAAGTCGGTCCTAAAAAGGAACTTGTTATAATAGTTAATGACGCAGCAATCTAGTTGTAGTGGTTGATACTTTAATGTCCGACATCGACTGACTCACCAACTCACTCAGCCCACTGGCGACTGCTACAACTACTACTTATTATATGTGGGAGAGTCTATTAACAATAGAATATGTATGTTCCAGTATAACACTAATTCAACCCATTGGCTTAAGATGGTGTCTCAAAAACCGCTTTATTTTAATAACAAACACTTAAAAAAACACTGATTTTGTTGAGAAAATCACTCATTAACAAAGTTGTTTCAGGGGCGCCTCTAGGACCAGGGACCCTGAAGCTTAGGCGAAACTATCACAGAATAGAAGGACTGCAATGAAATGGACAAAATGCTAGAACTGCAAAGCTTTAGGCTTACGGCCATATCATGTTGAAACACCGGTACTCGTACGATCACCGAAGTTAAGCAACGTCGAGCCTAGTCAGTTTCATTGGTGCACACTGTTAGAGGAGCGGACATGTTTGCATTGTAACAGAAGTAAGAAAACTGGTGCGATCAATCTCAAGCTTCGATCACGTGACCATAATAGTACCAAGTATAAGCGCGCATGAGCAGAAGACATTATGATAAACCTAAAGATATGTTATGACGAATGTGCATATAAACCTTGACTTACCGTCGCAGAAGGAGATTGTGAAGTAAGGAGTGACAATTATGAAGGATACATAATGATTAACCCTAGGCTTAAAGAGGTAGAGATTGTAGTGTTCAGGAAAGCATCTGTGTGGGAGTGATAGCAGTTCTTAAAAATTTAAATACGAGGATAAGTCAAAAATTATCTCAGGTTTCTGCTCGTGTGCTTATAATTAGTACTATTGTGGTCATGTAATTGAAGTTTGGGCTTGATCACCTTCATAACAACTTTAGAACAAAAACATCTGAAGAAGGCTAAAGGGTACACTGGCAGAAACATTTACCTGAATAGCAAAGCATATATTAATGATAATCCCTCATTTAAAAAAAATGCTTCAAATTTCTAGAACTTATTTTTAGATAATGAATGATGCCAACAGATATTGACGTTTCATTTTTTTTATACTAATGTTCACCTAATGCAAGGCCCAAGAGCCAGTCAAAGTAGAGGGTTATTGAAGGAGTTTTATGATATAAATGTAAGTAGGGAGTGAAAATTATGAAGGATACATAATGATTAACCCTAGGCTTAAAGAGATAGAGATTGTAGCGTTCAGGAAAGCATCAATGTGGGAGTTTTCTAGAAAGTAGCAGTTCTTAAAAACTTAAATACGAGGATGTCAAAAATTATCTCAGGTTTCTGCTCATGTGTGCTTATAATTAGTACTATTGTGGTCATGTAATTGAAGTTTGGGCTTGATCACAGCAATTTTCTTACTGCTGTTACAGTGTAAACATGGCCACTCTGCTAGCAGTGTGCACCAAGGAGGAACAAAGAGAAATGATCTGATTCTGCAGGGAACATGTTATATCAGCGATGATAACTCCCTGATTCACCATCTCTCAAGCTTGCTAAATCTTCTCATCAGTGATGGAGGTTGACCAGCATCCTCATCCTTTGTGCATCATACTTGTCCGGTCACTTTTAAACTTCTCAATCTGCTCATACACACTATGCAGTAATGCACTGTTGCTGCATTGTGTTTAAAGCCTGCAATGAATTTCAGCCCCTGACACACCTTTCAACCAGAGAAATCAAATCACTGCTCTTTGTTCCTTCTTGGTTTACACTGCTTGCGGAGCGGCCATGTTTGCACTGTGACAGAAGTAAGAAAACTGGCGCAATCAATCTCAAACTTCGATCACGTGACCGGAATAGTA